AATGCATTTTGGAGAAAATGTCCAATAGCAAAGTTGTATGGTTTCAAGCGGGGAGTAAGATGATGACCTTGACTTTGACCTTGACCATGTCCTTCAAAGTAATTTCAAGGTCAACCTTATTTTTTTAAATGGAACCCCCTATATTTTATTGCATATTCTTACAGCTTATCTCGAGAGCTTTCCAACGCTAGAATAAAACATTTTTTCATTAAGTACTTTTTGAGTTATAAAGGTTTCAAGTTAACAATTTGTTAAGTGGCGTGTGGGTTCGGCCAGTTAAGGCCTTCGGACATCACGCATTCGAGCAGCTTCTCGCGATCACTTTCGGGCAGTATTCCGCCGTAGCCTACCGTAGCCTACTAGCATCACCGCTTGAAGCCGTACAACTTTGCTATTGGACATTTTTCCAAAATGCATTCTTACTGAAAATATTAGGGGGATCCAACACTTTTCGATTAATGTATTTTCTTTAAACCAATTAATTGGTCTCATTACTCCGCGCACAAAAGTATTAAAGTTATAATTACTGGAAACTAAATAATATTTTACAAGATATTTTACATTTTGTGTAAAAAAATTGTTAACTTCAAACCTTTATAATTCAAACTTAATGGAAAAATGTTTTATTCTAGCGTTTTGGAAAGCTCTCGAGATAAGCTATAAGAATATGCAATAAAATGTAGGGGATTCCATTTAAAAAAATAAGGTTGACCTTGAAATGACCTTGAAGGACATGATCAAAATCAAAGTCAAAGTCATCATCTTACTCCCCGCTTGAAATCATACAACTTTGCTATTGGACATTTTCTCCAAAATGCATTTTAACTGAAGATATTAGGGGGGTACGATACTTTTCGATGACCTGTATATGGTCACAACGAAAAAATATTTATATACAAATATAATCAAAGTAAATACTTATGTTTCTGTCAGCACATTATATCAACATTTTATTGAATAAAACTATTTCTTTCTTTTCTTAATTAATATCATTTTTTTCCGTATAAATATATATGATTATATAGAGACAAAATTCACATATAATTTATATACAATCGTATATAATTATTTATATATGTATTTTTTATGTAATTGTGTGAAAAAAGACTTTAGTCTGTTTGTGACCGCGTAGAAGAATACATATAGAATCGAAGCATTTCCCAAATCTGTACTGTTTCTAGTTAGATTTGCCTCAAGATAGACCCGCTATCGTTGGGCTTAGATACGGCCTAAAGAGACTAACCCAGAATAGAGTTTCAATGGCTCTGAGTAAGCACAGATGTAGATGACCCTAACAAAGTCTGCTATCCTTGGGCCTAGATACGGCCTAAAGAGACATTCAGAATCTAACGGAAACTACATTTGGACAATACTTAAGCAATGTGATAACCGATGCGAAAGATTGGAACGGTTATCGCAGGAAAAGATGCATACAAACAAATTTATATCTTTATATATATTTGATATATGTTTAACATTTATTATGTTTATATTTTCGTGTTTATATTTTATATATTTTATAATGTTTTATACGTACAGGGTATTTATTTTAAAAATTCCCATCTCAATATTTTTAAAAATATACGTTCTACTAAAAAATGTTTAATACAAAAGTTGTAGGGTTTTGAGAGGGACATAAAAGACTACTATTTGTTTGATTTTGGATGGAGGCGTTAAGATCACGCCAAAGTCAACTTGAATTTTTTAAGTAACACCCCCTACATTTTGTTACATATTCTTGTAGCTTATCTCAAGAGCTTTCCAAAACCTTATAATAACATATTTTTTCATTAAATACTTTTTGAGTAGTGGAACTTGAAAGTTACAGTACCACCGGCATTAGCGTTACCAAAGTGTACCACACGGAAATTGCTTGGTCCGAATTACACCTCTTTTGTGTATGTGTGTGTGTGTGTGTTGTATGTGTGCATACGTGTATGTGTGGGTGAGTAATGTGACAGTCCTCATTCCTTATCTATTCCATAACTTACTATCGTAAACAACCACCCATTCACCTGCACCATTCATACTGCACGTATATACGCACACACATCCATATATATATACATCCATATACACTTACACTCACACTCACATCCACACCATACCTACCCACCCACACACGCACGTACATACACATACACGCGCGCACGCAGCGCGCGCACACACACACACATACACACACACATGAAGAAGGTGAAAATCCGATCAAGCAGCCTCCGCGTGGTGCACCTTGAATAATGCTAATGCCGACGGTATTGTAACTTTCAAATTTCATTATTGAAAAAGTATTTAATAAAAATTCATCATTATATGTTTTGGAAAACTCTCGAGATAAGCTACAATAATATATAATAAAAAGAAAGAGGTACTATTTAAAAAATTCAAGTTAACTTTAACGTGACCTTAACGCCTCCATCCAATGTCAGACAAATACTCATATAGCAGAAAAAGCGTTGAAAAAACGTTGATGAGACGTTGCAACGTTGAAGATAAAAGTGTGGATATTTCTTCTAGATGGAATTTATGTTGATTCTTCAACATTGATTACAAGATATAGCTGCAACATTGAATATATATCGAACAAAAAACTACAACATATTGCAACGTTACAACAATATTTGAGAAGCATTGAAAAATATTTTTTTAAAATTAATGAACCATTTTTATTATATTGTATAATAATAATAATAATAAAATAAATTATTTTTAACTGTTATTATATTAATATATATATATTATTCATAATATATTATAATGTATCATAATCATATATATTCATTTTTATTATCTACTTGTAAAATTAAAATGCGTTTAAGCAATTTTGCGCAAACCCTGAAGAATATTCTTTCATTTCATAGTATTCTCTGTTATACAGAATCTGACGCGAACTGTACCAATAATAAAAAATGCATAAAAATATTAAACTGAAAGGAATGGGCGAAGTCATTTTGCAAATAACCACATAAACTTTAGAGATATTAAATAAAATAGATAGGCGAATTAATATGTATTTGCTAGGTATGTTATAATATAATGTGAACACTATAAGGATACATTTATATAAGCACAAATCGTAAGAACATTGTTGGAGTCATTGGAATCACAGAATGCCGTTCGATCGTCAGGTTAGGCAACATTTTAACGCAATCAGGACATAAATGGGTGACCCGGTATACCGCTTGGGACTGCAATTATCGAGGGAGGATCGCGAAAGCTTTGGAGTGTGTTTGACAATCTTCGGTTCCTAGCAGTTATAAAGCATGAGAAAATTAGGAATTAGTTATTTTATGAAACATTTACAGTGTTTGTCTGTCTCATAGTGTCATGTCTGTGCAACACTTATGTTCTTACAACACTTTTTTATGCTGTATTGCAGTAGTTATTCCATTTTAAAATTTCTCACAAAAATCTCATGAGTTTTAAAATAGCTTAACTTCGTGAGTTAAAGTTATTTTGCCGATATGTATATACATTATACTGCAATGTTGCTGCAATCAACATTTTAACAAAATTGATTAAACGTTGAAACAATGTCATTCAATGTCTATAAAACGTTGCATTTCAATGTCCATAAGACGTTAAAATGTCAAGGAAAAATCAACAATCGCGGACATTTTTACATTATATCAAAGTTTGTGCAACGTTGATTCAGTGTTTCTCAATGTTGTTGCAATATTGACATTGTTGCAATTCAACATTGATTCAACATTTCTGTGTTGTATGGAATAGTAGTTTTTTATATATCTCTCAAAGCCCTACAACTTTTATATTAAAAATATTGAGGTGATTTAATAAACAATATTATATTTTGTTCAGTTAAGAATATTTCTACTAG